GTAAACATGCAAAGAAAATGCCAGGCATGAATATATTGTAGGTAGGAGCTTGTTTGCAAAGCTTCTTCCTGCGTTCAGTTGCGCGATATCCCCAGCGGATTAATTAGAGCCTTGGAGTGATTTAAAATCAATCCTCAATCAAATCAGTCTGAGGAGGTTACAGACCGAGGAGTTTGGATTAATTATCCGCATCCTGGTTTCGTCTCAATACACACCCATTTTGTCAATAAAGAAATACGGCACTTAGAACCGCCTGGCATAGATTAGATTTTCTTTCATTGGCATAAGTTTTAATTAATTAGAATGATCCATGAGGCTGATGAGAAGTGTGCAACTAAATTAGGATTGCAAATCATCCAATCACCCAGAAGTTGGGCTGCAGAGCCTAGCAATTCCTCTCCGGTGGTTATGTTAGCTTGTAGGATGATGGGAGATACAGTCCGACTCTAGGAGTCTATGTATTCCTACATGGCAGAAGGGGGTTGGACTGGATAGACTTTGGGGATCCCTTCCAGCTTTAGGGATCTATGTATTTCTGCATAGCAGAATGGGGTCAGACTGGATGATCTTTGGGGTCCCTTATAATTCTAGGGTCCTATGTATTCCTCCTGCATGGTTGAAATGGGTTGGACTGGATGGCCCTTGGGGGTCCCTTGCCACTCTTGGAGTCTATGTGTCTAAGTTCGGACATAAAACCGGATCGGATTCCTGACCCTGGGTCCTTCCTCAGGAATGGGAGGAAGAGGAGGAGGAGGAAGAGGAGGAGGAGGAGGAATAGGCGGTCCATCCCAGCCTCTCTCTCTCTGTCCTTGTCCATTTGGCCAGAGGCGCCTGGACAGGAGGGACGTGCGGACGGAGCGCTCCAGACCCGCTTCTGGCGCTGATTCTGCCGCTGCCACTGATGGGCCCCCCGGGGCGACCCTTCCTCTTCCTCTTCCTCTTCCCCTTCCTCCTCCTGATGCCCAGGATGATGGGTGAGTGGTCGGTTTTGGGGAGGGAGACTGCAGAGCCCATCATCCCCTGCCCCTGAAGGGGAGGAATCTGCAGGGACGAGGGACCCACTCCAGGAGACCCCAAAACTCAGTGGGGTTTATAGGAGAGTCCACTCGGGTGGGGACTGGGTTCAAAAGATGCAGGGATGATTCGTTTTTCCCTCCCTGCTTGAGACCAAAGTTTTTGAAAGTGGCTCCTTTAAAAAAAAAATAAATGTTATGACAACTCCCATTATCCCCAGCCAGCCAAGCTGTGGGGTCTTTGAGCTGTTTTCCGTTGCAGTGGATGATGGTTGTTGTTAATGTGTGCCTCCTTTCCGACTTATGGCAACCTTGAGGTGAACCTATCCTGGGGTTTTCTTGGGCGGATTTGTTCAGAGGGAGGTTTGCCATTGATTTCCCCTGAGGCTGAGAGAGTGTGACTCACCCAAGGTCACCCAGTGGGTTTAAAGGGTGGAGCAAGCTTGTTTTCTGCTGCTCCAGAGAATAGGACTCAATGGAGCCTCAATGGATGGAAGCTCCAGGAAAAGGGATTCCAGCTCAACCTTAAAAGCTGTTTGATAATGGGAAATGCTGCTGCCTCCTCCTTTGGAGGAGGTTTTTAAGCAGAGGCTGGATGGCCATCTCTCACAGGGGGTGCTTTGATTGTGAGTTCCTGCATGGCAGAAGAAGAAGGAGAAGGGGGTTGGAACGGATGGATGGCCCTTGGGGGGTCTCTTCCAGCTCCATCATTCCATGAACCTTTGGAGACAGGATTCCTGGGCAATGGTGGCTAATGACTCCCAACTCAATGGCAGTGAATCCACTCCGGTTCAGCACCAAAGACAGTTCTTGTGAAACCAGACAAAACCCGGAGTGGATTTCACGGCCCACCGACATGGAAGCCTTGACTGTTCCAGGCAGAGACAGACAGACATCCTTTGGTTGCACCTGGGAAAACAGCCATGGAGTCCAAGGGTGTCCCAGGCTCTTTTTCTCCCACAGACGCAACCCACCGGGTTGTGGTACTTCTGCGCACGTCTCCCGGTTCCCAAAGAGGTTGGCTGCTGTCTGCCGTGAGAGAGAAAACCTGGGGCCTGTGGAACTCCTGGCAGGAGTGCCTTTGGATTTTAGCCATGGAAAAAAAAGGAATGAGGGGAAGGTTCACCCAGCATTGAGTTTTATCCTCTGCTGTGTGGAACTTTTGCAGGACTGCAAATCCTAGCAGCCCCTGGCTACAATATTCTGAGGCTTGTTGTCCAAAAAACCCAAACTTTTCCAAACTGTGCACTGGAATTGGAGAACCGTGCTCCTCTTTCTCCTTCCCGTGTTGGTCTGGAAAGCTGTGCCGAATTGTGCATCTTCTGATGGCTCATTTTAAGGGCAAAAAGGTTGTTTCTGGGCCCTCTAATCTCCTTCCAAATAACTCCGACTGAGTAGCAAACATCCCCCAAGGAAAGGAAAGGAAAGTCCCTGTGTCAATGGGGAAAGTGACCTGGGCTGGGGAGTCCATAAAAGCTTCGCCAAATAAAACTCCTTCGTCACTAACTTGCAACAGCAAGAGTTTTTATTGCAATGGCAAGAACGGGATCAGCTTGGCTAGTGCTCCGCCGCCTCTCCATAAATATTTTTATAAAGGGATAGGAAATCCACCCTAAACCCTAACCCTAACCCTAACCCTAAAACCCCATTGCCTGCATTGATACGGATAATTTGGCTTATAAATTAAAAGAAACCAAGGTTTGGCTGGTTGCAAGTGCAGTCCTTGGAATTAGCTCTGTGCAAAACGGAAATTCCCGTTCTCCTAAAAGGCAGCGTTAGCCAGAAATGTTTGGGATGCCAACCCACAACTAAAGGTCCACTTTGGGCAAAATGGGTATAATCATCAATAAGCATTATAGGGCAACAAGTATGGAAATAGAGTGGGCCCTTGGTACAATGGGAATGCATAGGAGAACACTGTCCCTTTATATAAGATGGCAAATTTAAGGTTTGCTTTTTGGAATCTATGTATATTTAAAATATTTTCAAGCAGCGGATGGTTAAATCCATGGATAAGAAGGGCCGACTGTAAATAGAGCCAACATGGCGTTGTGGTTTGAGTGTTGGACTGCCACTTTGGAGACCAGGGTTTGATTCCCAACTTTGGTCATGTCACACCCTCTCAGCCTCAGTGGATGGCAATGACAAACCCCCTCTGAACACATCTTGCCAACAAAACCTCATTATATGGTCTTAGGGTCGCCCTAGGTCAGAAATGACTTGAAGACATGCAACAACAATAGGACAACAAGTGTGTAAATAAATAGTACATTTTGGAAGTTGAGAAATGCCAAATGTTTGTTGGAGAGATGCTTGAAGTGGTTGATGGGTCGGGTTCAAATCCTCGATACGGTTTTCTCTTTGAGTCCCATTAGACCACATGCCAAGCCTGGTGACACTGCAATGTGGATTTGCTCCCGCAAAGGGAGCAAACTTGAGCTCTCCAGCATACTGTTCTTCTAAGTCCCTCTGCCCAAACTACACATCCCAAGGGTTCCAGAGGAATGGAGCCACGACTGACTGTCGGTTGAAGAGGAATGGAAGTGGGGGAACTGTTTGTGCAGACACATCTTGCACAAGGTGTTGCGGGTCCTGATCCGAATGCTTGGTTCCTCTCTTTGCAGGAGAAGGAGGAGAAGGAGGAGCAGGAGCAGGAGGTGCCTTGGGAGAGGCTCTGCACCGGAGCCGAAGGGGGGTCCTCCAGCTGGCGGGGGCCATCCTCTGCGCCACGGGCCAGACCCCCCTGGCCTACCTGCGCTACGGGTGCTACTGCGGCCTGGGAGGAAGCGGGTGGCCCCGGGACAAAGTGGACTGGTAAGAAGAAGAAGAAGAAGAAGAGCTCTGTGGCTGCCTTTGGCCATGCACAGGGAGGCTCTTCTTGCACCTTGGAGACTCACCTGCGCTCACCTGGCATACTTTGATTCCAGACTAAGAGGGCAATGTCTCCAAATTCAGCCCTCTTCAGGCATGGCCTCCTTTCCCCTGCAAAATAATAATAATAATAATAATAATAATAATAATAATAATAATAATAATAATAATAATAATAATTGTTTCTTACCGATCTCTCTCTGTGGATTGAGACGGGGGACAACAAAATGAATCAGGATGCTCAGGATGCTCAGAACCAAAATCCCCAAAAGTCAACCCTTCAGTGTTTCAAGGTTTCTACATAGGTTTGACTCCTGCACCTTTCCAATTCTACAATCCTAAAATGTCTCACCAATCTCACGAAAACACGTCTCACAAAAAAATCCAAGCCCCTTCAGAGATGACATGCTTTCCCTTTTTGCAAAATGAATCTGGATGCATGCTCAGAACCAAATGCACAGGAGTCAGCCTTGGCGTCTCAGTCTTTCTCTCTCTCTCTGGGTTTCTGCAGAGACTCCTTTTAAACTTATCCATTTTTCTTTCCAAAGTTTTAAGACTGGTTTCCATTCTAGGAACAAAAATAATTTTTAAAAAAAATATGCCACGCTGGTCCTTGCGCACGTAAAGAAACCACATCCTTTAAGCTGCTTTTAGACAGAAACCCCCCCCCAAAAAAAAAATGCAGCGGTTCATGTGGGATAAATGTTGTGACCTTGTATTTTAAGCTTTTGGGAAAACAAAGGAGGAAGGAGATGATGACTTTAATTGCTACCTGTGGTGCCCAGATGGGAGGAAGGTATCCATCTCTGGCCACTTACTTTGCCCACGGATCAGAGAGCCCTCTCCCTGGCTCACCTTTTGCCCCACTTTGGGCTACCTCATTGCCCCCGGGGCCGGCCGGCCGGCCGGGGCACCTTCTTCCTGTGTTGACAAGGCCGGGCGTGGGCCGTTGGCAAAGGGCCCTTCTTCCTCCGAGGCTGGCACTCTCGACATGCTTCCCTTGCTCTTGCAAAAGGAGCCTTTTTCCTGCCCTGGAGCTTTCGGTCACTGGCCAGCAGCCAAGGGCTTCTTGTTGAGCCAGCAGTGTGACGCGGCAGCTAAAAAAGCCAATGCTGGGAACTGGTGTAGTAGTGGCTTGAGTGCTGGACTATGACTTTGGAGGCCAGGGTTCGAATCCCTCCTTGCTCAGCCATGAAAACCTACTGGGTGACGGTAGGCAAGTCACTCTCTCTCAGCCTCAGAAGAAAGCAATGGCAAGAAAACCCTGTGATAGGGTCGCTTTAGGGTTGCCATAAGTCAAATGTGACTTGGAGGCACACAACAACAACAACAACAACTCTGCAAAGAAGTCCCCCAAGGGAAACCACTTTGCTTAATGTTCCTTTCCTGGGACCCAAGGGGAAGGAAGGTTGGGGGGCCGGAGAGGAGAAAAGGGCCCCCCAAAAGAGCCAAGAGAGGAACCCAGGAGCCTTGCCCCCAAAAGAAATCCTCCCTGACTCCTCTTTCTCCCACTTGGACCTGCCCTGCCAGATGGATGGGGCAAACAATGGAGGCACAATGCCATGGATGATGGGAAGAGTTAATTAACCTGGGTTAATGAAGAGGTTAATGGGGTAATTGCATACTTTGCAGCTGTCTTGACAGTTCATGTTGTCGCTCAGGAAGATTGCATCAAGTTTTGTTATGTACAGTATGCGCTGATCATTGCAATGGGGGCAATTGAACTGCATTCCTCTTCCATCTGAATCCATGGACCCAAAAAACAACTGATGCAAGATTTTGAAGGGTTAAGGTTGGATGAGAGTTGTTGTTGTTGTTGTTGTTGTTGTTGGTTTGGAAGGGAAACAGACTACCCTAATGTTTCATGCTACAACTCCCCATTGACTATGCTAAGGGGAAACATAGCACAGAATAACAACCCAGCAACAAGCAGTCTAGCAGGAGTTTGGAATACCCTGTTTCCAACCATGGTTTCCATCATCCCCATTGGCCACACTGATGGGAAACATAGTCCAGAATATCTGCCCAGGAGCTTGGAATACCTTGTTTCAGACCACGGTTCCCATAATCCATAATTCCATACTGGGAGTTGCAATCCCCCGAAGTTGCTTTTCCAGCCTACCTATCTCCCTTTGCAAGGGTTGTTTTGGGGAGATAATGTCCCAGTCATCTAAATAATGCCACCGCATTGGCATTGGCGTTGGCATTGGCGTTGGCATTGGCACTGGCAGGGGAAAGCCTCCCTTTTTTGTGGTTCCTGGCAGTTTTAGGCTGCCAAGCTTTGCTCCAGAGGAATGACACCTGGGCACCCAAAAAACCCTTCTTTCTTGGCAGGTGCTGCTTCCGCCACGACTGCTGCTATGCCAAAGTGGAGAAGGAAGGCTGCGCCCCCAAAACGGGGAGCTACACCTGGGAGTGCAAGGACAACAAGGCCAAGTGCAGTGAGTATCTGTGGACAGCTCCTGCCAGGCAGATGGGCTTCGGGGCTCCTCTTGGCATCATGGCCAAACATCTGCAACTGTCCGGCAACAGAAAAATTTGAGTTAAATTGTCTTTGTGTTTGATGGTTTTTTGCATTGGCTTGGTAGTCTGAGGCTGGGAATGGACTGAGTGTGTGAATTGTCCTCTGATGCTAATCTGCTTGCAAAGTTTGTGGCTTGTGCAGAGATGGGTCAGGCGTGTGCAATTTTGATTTTGTTTGCTTCTGCACTCTATGACCCTTGGGAGCCCATCTTTTTTGTCAGCCACACCTGGGGATAGAAAAATTCAAAGCCAGGGGAAAGGGATTGCCAGCCAAGGCTAGTCTGGTTAGGATCAGTTGTTCAGGGGCCCAGGTCTACCTCTAGCTGTGAGGGGATGCTGGAGGCCACCAGCAAAAGGGCATCTCATCTGCTGCTCCATAGACCTCCAAAGAAGCTGACCTCTGTTCGCTTGAGAGGAGTCTTGCTAGCAACCTCCTTTGGCTCTTTTGCCCACTTGAGGTCTTCCAAGAGCAATGGGTAAGGAATTGTGTAGCCTTCCTGATGTTGTTGGATGACAACTCCCAGCCTTTCTTCTTACCATTAGCTGCTTTGGCTAGGGGACTGATGGGTGCTGCAGTCCAACAACATCTGGAGGGACACAGGATTCCCACCCAGGCCTTAAGAGACTCAGCACTAAAGGGTAAAGAGGATTCTCTTGAAACTGACTTGCAAACGACGGGGGCATTGGCGTTCCAAGGGCCAAATCCTATGCCTTCAAGTCACACCTCTGTGCTCTCAGCCAGGCCTGAGCCATTCTCCAACTCCCCAGTACCCTAGAAGACATACACCATTTAATTTTAAAGTTTGGGCACAATTTTGGCCCAAATGCCACAAAAGTGGTCTGACACTACCCCACACCTCTCCTGCAAACACAACACAACACAAAGAAGTCAAAGGTTGGCCCCAAATACAGCAAAAGAACTCCAGAAATTACTACTCAGTCACCCCCAGGTCAGATTTCTGGCTGGAAATGCAACCTTGTGTCCTACGGAGATGGAGGGCTGGGGGACCATCATGATTTGGCCTCCTTGGTCCTGAGCTTCTCACTTTCTCTTTGCAGAAGACACAGACAAGACAGATGAAGATAAGTGCCAGGAGATGACTTGCAAATGCGACCAAGAAGCAGCCCAGTGCCTGGCCGAAGCCCCCTACAACTCCAAGTACGTCTTCTGGCCAGAGACGTTGTGTGGGACCCACAATCCTGAATGTGAAGATGATTAGGACGGAGGGCGGTGGGGCAGGGCAGGGCAGGGGGGCAGGACTAGCATTTGTGGCTACGGAAGATTAAGAGAGAAGGGGCAAACTCTCCTGGGGAGACCATGCATCTCTCTGGGGCAAGATGGGGTGCTGCGTAGATGTTTCCTCCCAACCTCAGCTCCTGGTTAAGTCCAGCCATTCTTTAAATAGTGGATTTGAAGGTCTCTTCTCCCCACCAGAGAAGTCTGGCTCTTGCAGGCCCTTCTAGCCAAGTCGTAATGGGTCCCCCCACAACCACCATCCAGATTCCATCCTCTGTGTCTCCCATTTCAATTTTAGCAAGCGAGCCTTCCTTCTCCTCCTCCTCCTCCTCCTCAGGCCCAGACCTCCTCCATGAAGGGCTGCCTTGGGGTTATTTGCCATCGTCAACTTTAACTTATGGTGACCCTCTTAATGAGAGACCTCTAGGATCCCCCGGCTGTCCACAGCCTTGCTCAGGTCTTGCAAACTCAGGGCAGCAGCCACTGTGGTCCCCTTTATGGAATTGATCCAACTGGAAGGCAGCCTTCCTCTTTTCCTCCTGCTTTCTCCTTTCCCCAACATTATCGTCTTTTCCAGTCACACCACATTGTGATATATCCAAAGTACAATAACCTCACCATGTTGTTATTTGCTGTCGACTCCGACTTACTGCAAGCCTCCAAATAAGGATCCCCAGCCCTGCTCAGGTCTTGCAAAGTTAGGGCAGCCTCCGTGGCTTCCTTGATTTCCTCAATCCATTCACGGTGCGGCCTCCCTCTGTTTCTGCTGCCTTCCATATCATTGACCAGTGTCCAGCAGGAGATGTAGAAGGTTTACAGCCATCTTTGTGTGCCTTTTGCATCCAGGCCAGTATTTCTCTTGGGCCAGCTTCCGGCAAATGGTGGCGCATGTTCCCTGGCAGAATGACTCAGAACCAGTTGATGCCACTGAGGCTAACTGGGCAAGTTAAAAGAAAAAGCAACAGCCAAAGCAAGTTTGTGGAGTGTTACAAGGAAGTGCTGGAGAGAAGTGAACAATATAAACATTTACACTCAGCTTACATCAACAACATGGTTTCTCCGGAAAGTTGCCACATAGCTGTGGCACTGCGAACAGGACTCTGGGCTCATGTCAAGGCAGTTTGGTTACAAATCCCCACTTAGCCAAAAACTTCAGTGGGGCAACCTGTGGTCAGCCATCTTTGCTGAAGTCTTGCCTACCTCACAGGGCTGTTGTGAGGAAAGCAACAGGAGAGGCAGAAGAGTGATGTATGATTAAAAAAAATACTACAACTAGTAAATATTAGAAAAAAAATCTCTTTTTTTAATTCTAAAAATGTTCATATGCAAATCAGAAGATTAATACAAACATAGAGTCAAGGTTCATTTTCTATAGGGATGCTGTTATTTAAAAGAAGTGAAATCTTGGATTTGGCATACTTTTAACCAATGGCAACACCAGTGGCATTTTTTATAGGTATGTATACATAAACCACCACGTCACAGTTGGTATTTACATGCAGGACATTCTGGGTTTTTAAAAGTTTTTTTGTGGTTGCAAGGAGACTGAGAAAATAAATACAACAACAGAAGCAGACTTACATTCATACAAAAAATGACAGGGGGAAGGAGTAAGGTCTGAAGCCCCTTTTAAAAAGGGGCAAATACACGAACAGACAATGCCACAGACACAGACTGAGGAAAGAGAGAAAGAGCCAAGCTCCTGGCATTTTATCAGGTTTCCCACATGGCGCTCCTGCTGCCATACACAGAAAACAGAACACAAAAGTTGTACCTCTGGTGAGCCCAAATGCAACTATTTTAGTTACCACAAGAAATCACAGTTCTCTGGGAAAAGTGCTTACCTCCACTGGATGCAGTCCTTGCTGCATAAAAGAAAAGACTTGCCAAAAACAGTAGGTATGCCATTAAATTAAACCCCCTTATCCCCCCTCCCCTCAAAAAATCAGCATGAGTTTTATTTCCACAGAAAGAAAGAAAAAGCAGTGGCATTTTTTGCCTCCAGATTGCAAAGGGGGATCCTGAGCCCTCATCAATGGACTTGTGTCTCCAAGCGCCGGACCTCCTTCACAACGAGGTCAATGTTTATGACAGGGTTAAAGTACAGAGCCCAGTAAAAGAGGCAGTTGCAGACAAACTGAGGAATAACGGGCCAGAAAATGGCCATGAGGAATCCCTGGGTTGACACTTTCCAGAAATGGCTCCACATTCGGTGAGGAATCGTCCTAGAAGGAGAGAAACAGAGCAAATGAAATGCCTGATGGCGCCATGGCCTTTCCTTCTCTCTCTCATATGAATCTGCAAGGCAATTAAGCTTACTTACAACATGTATAGTATAGCCATTGCTCAGATGTACCACAACAACATTGTGGTTGTTGCTGCTGTGTGCCTTCAAGTCATTTCTGACTCACAGCAACCCTAAGGCTAA